GCTTTTTTGAAGTAGGCAGGCAGATGAAAGATCTGGGCAGGTAAAATGACTAGGTACTATAGAATACTTATATTTGATCCTTAGCTGTTTTGTGCTAATGTGTGGCACAAGGGACCAAGTGCTTAGGCTATCTTCCTCTGTAGTCCCAGAAATGTAACTAGGAAACTGCAGCAGAAGCAGATTGGCCAAGTTCAAATTGGCATTCCAATATGGGATGCTGACATGGCAACCCAGCAGCTTAATTTACTGAGCCATAGGCCACGAGAAAATAGGGCTTATTTGATTTGTAGACGATGTGGTCTATTTAATGTATAGATAAGCACACAATGCAATTAATCCAGATAATGTCATTTTATTTGCATAATCATTGAGCACAGGATTTTATTACTGTCCTTAATTTTTAAAAAGTAAATAGAAGACACCATGTAGCATAAAAATAAGACTGAATAAACTTCTTAAAACCTTTGTCTGCCGATCACATAATTAAATGTGATTTTTACATATAATTAATCTATCCAGTACTTAAGGAATTAGTTTATTCCTTTAACTTCATGTGACTCTTTACGTAGTAAAACGTGATGCTTTTTAAAAAAAAACTGGTTTTCTGTGCTTTGTCTTTATGCTTAAGGTCTCATTTTGTTTCTGAAATAGATAATGTTTACTTCAATAAATACTTACTGCCTCAGTCACATTCCCCTCCCATCAGTGACCAGGGACTTCTCTTACAAAGGGCCAGTGACTCAATGGTTAGTTTCCTCCTTGTACGAGTCACCGAAAATGTAAAAACCAAGTCTTATTTTGTAGGCTCTACAAAAACAGACTGATGGCAGGTTTGGTGTGTGGCCATAGTTTGCCCATGCGTGCTTTCATCTTAAAATGTTTATAATGGGGAATGCATCTTCCTGCAGAGGAGACACAATTCCATACCTTATATTAGCACCAGTTGTTTATATTGAAAGGCATTAGCATCTTTATAAAATATGATTGTAATATGTCAGGATCTCTCTTTTCTTTGGCAGTCGAATCAGATCATCTGAGGAACATCCTGTAAGACTTCTGAGAGAGCACTTTGTGTATTCTAGTTTAGATAGTTCTCATGACATTGTTGTTTTTTAAACTAACAACTCGTGGATTTGAAGTTGTGCATTATGAGGTGTTGTAGACAATTTCAGCTCTCTTCCTTGGGCTGGTAAATTGACTTTTGCAGGACCTATAGTGATCCCAAGGCCATGCATATTTCTCAATAATGGTGACTGAAGGGTAGTCCCTTTCAGGAGGCAGCAGCAGCTGAACCAGAAAGAACACAGCCAAAGGAGAACTAGGTTCAGGTTAATGAGACAGAAAAGACTTGAGCTTCTTTGCGTTACAGCAGGATTCTTTGCCACAGGAGGAACTCTGTACTGGAGCCCAGGGGAGAGAAGCTGTCTCACTCAGCCTTCACTTTCGGTGATGTCATCATGTATATCAGAGGAGCTCACCAGTGCCGGTCTTTTATTCTTTGATTGAAGTCATTATAATAGATGCTGAGCTATATTCATCAAATCTCTGTCTTCCACTCAGTCTCCTATTAGAATATACAGGAAGTGTCGACTCTGTACTATTCATCGGGGCTGAAATGCCACTGAGTTCAACCAGCAAGAAGAGTAGTCATTCACATCATGTCTGTGATATATTAAAATTATCTTGGGGTCTGTGACCCTGCTGACAGGTGGCTCCCTAAACAGAGCTCTTCACTGGAGGTATTCAGCCACCGCAGGAGGCTTCAGTGTTTTTCTGCTTGACTCTCCTGTTTGTGAAGAAAAATCTCTTCCTCCTCCTCCTGTTTCAGCCACATAGAAGTGCAGCAAAAAGGCCGGCAGTCGGTGCCAGCACCTGCCTCACTTCTTGGAGAGACAGTTTTTGGTTCTTTAGCCATTATCTAACCTCAGATATCCAGTTATATAGCATTACAAGTGGACCAAGAAATATTTTCTCCAAAAAAAAAAAAGTAACCTGTGTGAAAGAAGATGTTAGAGAAGCTGTATGTCTGATGACAGTCTGAAAGCTTCAGACTAACTCTAAAATCCCAAGGTGAGCCACACAGGGTTTATTGTTACTTCTTCCTTTGCTCTGCCTGTTTCTCATCTCAAGCATCACATTCTGGATCCCCATTTTGACACAAAAATACAAATTCACCCAGAGCTTGGTTTACTTAACCAGTGTCATCTAATGTTTCCTTTCTACTGTTAGGAAAAAAAAAAAAAACTATTCTTAATATTTCACTGTTCCCTTTAATTAGTCCTGATAATGCTGTGGTGCCCAGTGATTCTTGATATTTACTGTTACCTCTTGACTTATCTGGAAACTTTTTAAATATTGTTTTTGTTTGAATAACCAAAGCAAGGCAATCTTACTGGTAGAGCTTGTCCATATAGTGTGACTTGCTGTCAGAAGCTGTCCTCTATCAGCAGCATAGCTGTCCAAGCTGCAGTAGCATTTCTTCACTTTGCTGTGTGATAGGCACCATGCTAAGACACAGGGGACACCATGATGAATAGGAGAGAAACTGCAGTTGCTAATTCAGAAAACTTCTGTCCCAATCTAAGAGTCCTTACAATTGTATTGTTGAAGGGAATTGGGAAACAAACAAAAAGTAGATAAATACAGGTGAAATAATTAGATAAATATTGGCAGCAGTAAAATAATAAGCCTAACACTGCAAACCATTCTGCTAAGGGGTGTATCAATCCTGACCATCTTTCCCACTGTGTGATTAAGTTAGTGACACTTTTAAAGTGTCCCCAACTTCTAAGCCAGAGAATCAGTGTTGCATATTCAGGGCTCTACTAACAGCATTTATGAGATTTTTTTTTCAAAGCGTCTAAGTAGTGCTCATATTCTCCAACTTCTGTTGCACAACTCATAAACCCTGGCAAGCCTGTGGTTAGAGCAGGGGCCGTGGCTTGCTTTCAGGAGCTCTGTGTCAGGGCGTTGTCTCCCCTACACTGAATTGGGGAGCAGTATTTGGGTGCGAGTCGTAAGCGATTTCTTAGGTTTCATCCAAAGGTGACTCTGTCTTAAGGAAAACTTCACAGATGAAATTTTCTATTGGTACACTTTCATTTTTGACTCAGTGATAAGTAGGAGGGAGATTCTGAGAATATAAAAGGTATTTCAAGGAAATATATAGGAATATGAGGAGAACTACAGTGGAAATATTTTCAAGTATTCGAAGAAAAGTTTAATACAGTAAAACGCTGATAATCAAGAATTTAACAAGGGATGAATCATTCCAGGTAGCTGAGGATTTAATTATTTGAATATGGAACATTTGAAAAAAGCATCCCCAAAATTTAAAACCATGTCTTCTACAGTATTCTGTTTGTAGATTGCTTTTTTTTTTTTAAATTCATGTTATTCATGCCAATACACTGAAAAGAAGTCAGTGTGTTAACCCTGTGGTCACAACTATGTTAAAAAGTATAGGGACAGGGCCTGGCCTAATGGTTAATATGCAGCTGGGGGTGTCCACATCCCCCATTTCAGAGGGCTCAGCTGTGCTCTAGCCCGGCTGCCTGCTAGCACGCACCCTGCGAGGAAGCAGGGGAGGGATCCCGCGGTTGGGTCCCGTTGGCCTGATGCAGCCCTGTGCGCATTTGAGAGCATGAACCAGCTCTGTCTCTGTCCCTCTTAGGTCTCTGTGCCTTTCAGATACATAAAAATGAGTAAAGGCTGGCAGAAAGCTCAAGCAACAAAAGCATCTTCGGGTTATTAATATTAGCTGATATTACAAGATCTGTTTCCACAATTGCTTTGAACCGCAGCACAGTGATTAGGGGTTTGTTTGGCACATTTTTTTTGGTGTGTGTGTGTCAGATTTTTGCTTCAGCATTCTTTATCACGACTAGTGTTTTTCTATCCTCTTTTCTGTCATCTCCCCCAGATTGTACTGCCTCTTACTAGGAAATCTGAATGTTTCTTGAGGGTTTCTAGTTTCACTGTTATCACCCTACATTGTTGGTTGGGTTTGCCCAGACCTTAGAGCACTAGAGATTCTAAAGTGGAGTACTTCCCACTGCTAGATTCCATGATTTCTCTGTTCCCTGTGATCGTCTGCCTCCAGGAAGCTGAGAGGATTACACATTGTTGTATTTCCTGGGGACATAAAAAATAAAGAATTCTGTTGATTCTTGCTAGTTACTTTATTTTGCAGAATTTGGTTTTGCTTTATTTCCCTATGATAATCAAGAGTGTTTCTGTTAAAGCTTGTTGTGCATCTTGTCAAAATCATGAAAAGGACAAAATTAGTCCTTAATTTATAATGAAGTTTGAATTTTAAAACAACATGATTCACAACACCTTTTTTTTTAACCTTAAGGTGTTGGGTCTTGGCAAAAATCAGGTTTCATGATTGTGAACCAGGATTCATTGGGACTGTTAGTTCTGTGATTTTAACTGCTGTTCTAAAGGGGGATCCCTGAAGCTTCTTGAATACAAAAATATAGCTGAAGGTGTCATTATAATCAACCAAAGCTCTTGTATATTTAAAAATCTCAAATCTTGATCTGTCTCTTAGTGGTTTGTAGCTAAATTTTCCTGTGTACTTTCAAGACACATTAGCTTGCTTCATATACTTGTCAATTTCTGGTAGCCATATTTTAAAGTATTTAGTGTGTAACTAAATTAAGTTTTGGTCAGTGGATATGATGGGCTGTTTTCTCCACTGTAAGTTTCATTAACGTCAATCTTAGGTAAGCACAGTAATTAAGAAAGAATGAATACTTTCACATGTAACAACATTTTTTTATCAGAGTTCCTATAACCTGGCCCTCAGGTTTCTGTTTGAGGTGATACATTTGCAGCATTTAAACTTTCTCCATGTCCATGTTTCCTATGTCGGGGATGGCACCAGCTTGCAAGTCCATTTAATACACTTAACCTCAAAAGACCAACAGATTGTGTTTTTTTCTCCATTTATCTTGGCCCTTATTAATTATTGCTGGTTTTCTTTCTTGGACTAGATGGGGGAAAAAAGAATCAAGTAATGATTCATGGAATTGAGCCAATGTTGGAAACTCCTCTCCAGTGGCTGAGTGAGCACCTGAGCTACCCGGATAACTTTCTTCATATTAGTATCATCCCTCAGCCGACAGATTGAAGGATCAGCTGTTTACCGGAATGGAATCATCCAAAGCTGACCGGGAGCGTGTCACCCCTGAGCTTCAGACAGTTCAGTGGAGGCACCCTGACCAGAAACACTTGGTTGCTGTGAGCCAAACAGGAAAAAGATTCCCTGTGAGATAAGGCACAGGGCCGAGCTGTCTGTGCATCAGCACTGCTTTCCTCCACTGCCGTCATGAAACCTCAGCTGCAACAGGACCACTGCAGGCCTTCTGTGTTCTGGAACCTTTGGCCTGAGAAGAAAGTGGAAATCTGTGCCACTCGGTGTGTATTTCTGATGAAGCAGTAAACAGGGTATTTCCTAAGGTGGCCATGGTTGAACTTTAGCTCCAGAGAGTGGAAACATTTGGTTCAATTTTCAAGAGAATTAGACTTAAGAAAGTAAAAGAGAAATTCTGTTGTCAATAACTTGCAGTAATTTTTTGTAAAAGATCGAATTACAGTAAACCCGTTTTTTCCTTAATGAAAATTTCCTATGTTTACAGTCTGTCAATTGGTATGCAAACAATCTTGTAACTTTGATAATGAACAGTGAGAGATTTTTAAATAAAGCCTCTAAATATGTTTTGTCATTTAATACCATAGGATTCTGTCACTTTTCAGCTGCTCTCTGACTCACGCACAGCAGATCACTCTTCTCTATGTTACCATGTTCCCAAGTCTGTCAGTGCGGGATGGATCCTGGGCATAGGAGAACGTGTCCCAGGAGCTGTCACACAACTTTCTGCTGCCAACTATAAAATCTGTGTCTTGACATGGTGGCAGTGTAAGCAGTGTAATTTTCTCTCCGTGCTGTGTTACTGCTGTAAATTTGTCAAGTCATGTCATGCTGAGCATCTGCCAAAGGCAATTTTGCAGTATGGAGGGAAACCCCATTGCTTTCCAAACCTGTGTCTTCATTGGCTCCAGGTCTTGTGTCACTGTGGTCCCCTGGCAGCCAGGCTTGAACACAGAGTCTCTGCCTCCTGACTAGAGTCACCAAAACTAGCCAGGAGTCACTAGCACTCTGACCCCAAGGAAGGGAGGACTGCTCCCTTTGCTCAAACTGAGCAGCTACAGTCCTGCTGACCAAACTCACCTGTGTGTCTGCTGTGCTTTCTCCTATGCTAAGCTTCACTGTCCATGTCGATTGTTGACCGCTTCGAGAATGCTAAAAGACCTATCATACAATGATTTTTAGATCCCATAATAAAAAGTAATGTTTTTCTTGCAATTATATGAATGTTGAAGTGAGAACCTGCTATAGTACTCATTGCTTCCTTTCTTTTTTCCTTTTTTGTGACTACTCATTTGTAGCAGATTTACCCACAGGATAAGAACAAGTAAGCCCAAGATGAAATATTCTTCAGTGGAAATCCAAAGAAATAACATGGGGTATCAGTTACAGAGAAATAGACATAAGCAGAGGGAAAAAAAATGGACCACATAAATAAAAGTGCCGTTTTAGTCAAGGCAGGAAAAAAATAGCAATGTTTGAGTTACGTAAGAAAAAAAAATCCATTGACTTGTATTTTTGCAAAAGAGGCTGGTCTGAATATGATTGCTCACATTAGAAGTGTTCATTCGTCTATTGGGTGGAGGGATTTTCCCGTTCTGTGTTTTGACAGACTCAAGTCAGCCTCAGCAGTGAGAAGGGTCAAAATGCCAGAGGGTGCTAAGCGGTGAGGGAGAACGTGTGGTCAGAGTGGCAAGCTGAGCCATTTGCAGGGACAACCCCAGGGGGAGAGCTTTACAGGGGGCTCGAGGGAGCTGCTGCGCTTTACCTCCAGATTGGAAAGTACTGCCTTGTTTTTCACTTACCTCTTCATTATTATACCAACATTGTAACTATTCTAATCCCAAGTAAGTCAAGTCCGCAGTAACCCAGAAGCTAAAAACCAGAAGTTTGTATTGGCTTAAAAATGTATCTATATTTTTGTTTCTTTTTACTTACATTTTTATGGTTTATTTTAAAAAGAAATAATGTTGTGTCTGTCTTGAGTTCTAGAGATTGGAGGTGGAATTCATATTTTTAAAACTACCTATTGGGGGAGATCATCAAGATGTCCTTCGTGTTAAACCTGTTACAAAAGTGACTGAGATGAAGGTGGGTGGGTGTTTGTCATAGCAATAGAAGGTGCTGGTTAATTGCCTGCGCCTCACCTCACCTGACTCCAGCTCCTGGCTCCAGCTTCCTGCTGCTCTGCAGCCTGAAAGTACAGTTACAGCTACGTGTGTTCCTGTGACCAATATGACTGACCTAGATTGAGTTCCCAGCTCCTGAGTCTGGCCCAGCCCAATCCCAGCCCTTGTAGGCATTTCTGAGGGAGTGAGCCCACAGAGATGCGAGCTCTGTTTATCTGGCTCTCAAAGAAAACAATATACGGAGGGTTCGGCGCTGTGACCTAGTTGCTCAAGTCTTTGCCTTGAATGCACCAGGATCCCAGATGGGCACCAGTTCTAACCCTGGCAGTCCCTCTTCCCATCCGGCTCCTTGCTTGTGACCTGGGAAAGCAACTGAGGACAGCCCAAAGCCTTGGGACCCTGCCACCTGTGTAGGAGACCTGAAGGAGGCTCCTGACTCCTGGCTTCCGATTGGCTCAGCTCCAACCATTGCGGTCACTTGGGGAGTGAATCAATAGATGGAAGATATTTCTCTCTGTCTCTCCTTCTCTCTGTATATCTAACTTTCCAATCTTGAAAAAAAAAATACAGAAAGGATGAAGAAGGCAGAAAGGAGAGCACCCACTCTCAGCATACTTGTTTAACTTATCCGGGAGACATAGTGATCCTCAAGAAAGTGAACATTGTCATTGTTAACCAAAAAGGAATAAATTCAGACTGGATAGAAGGAGTCATTGCTTTTCATTTAGGTGACCCCAAAGTGGGAAGAGCTGACTTGATGATAAGCCCCGTGGTTGCTGTTTTTGTCCTTGTAGACCTGCAGTAGCCTGTTCAGGATTCAACATAGTTAACATACCGGCATTTACATATAGGGTGATTATTCAGACCACAGTTGCACAGTGTGACAGTCTGTTCCATAGACTATTCTTGTTGTGTTTATCCTATTCACTGGAAAGTAGATTGATCATTTTGTAAGCGAACAATGCGTAAGACTTTACACTTGTCACAGTAACCTCCAGGGTGTGCAATTTTTTAATAGACTGAGTAATCCTTAAATTTCAGAAATTTTGTTCCTATTATATATAAGAGAATGATACTCTCATCTTTTATTTATAGTACTAAGCAAATTGTATTTCCTGTTCATAGTTATATACAAGCCAAAATCGTGGGAAAAGATAGGAAACAACATAACCACATTAAGGCATCTTTGGTCACTTTTTGGGATGGGTCATTCAGACACCCACTTGTCTCTTTTGAGTTCACTTATACAAGACCTTGAAAGAAATATTCACCTCCTGGTTTGAAAATATTCAAAATTACAAAGTAACAAGAGAATAGAAAGAGTTGCATCTTCTCAAAACATTGTAATTACAGTTAGTCCTTATTCTAATATTGTATGACTTATGATTTTTGTTATTATTTATTTGGTGGGGCAAATAGAATGTCTGGTTCACTCTTCAGGTGCCCACCCTGGTTGGGCATTTGAGACCTCTGGCTGAACCAGACCAAAGCCAAGACCCTAGAACTGTGTCCGTCTCCCAACCATGTGAAAGGAACTCAGCTACTTGGACCATCTCATCTCCTCCCTGGGTCTGCACTGGCATGAAGTGGGAATTCAAAACCATAGCTGGGGTTGGAACCCAGGCTGGATGTTAGGTGCAGGTGTCCTGCCTGGCATCTTAACTGCTAAATGAGATGCCTACCACTTTCTTGGAATCCCTGAACTTTATGATGACACAAAAGTAATCCAAGATACATTGATATCAAAGTTCTTTTGCTGTGTTGCCTCAGTAGATCATTTGCAAAAAGCACCCTTCCAGTGGTCACATGTGAGTTATAAATTGAGTCTCCACATTTATTAGCAAATACAGAGCCCGCTATTGAATCTGATGGGCCTTGAGTAATGACAGAGTGAGGAATTCAGATTTGAGATCCCAGAGATAGTTTATAAACTACCTGGATTTTCCAATGCTTAACTATATCTATTACAGAGAATATTTAAAGGGCAATGAGCTAGACATAGCTGAAGATTGCCTGCCAGTGGACTTTGACTTTTTTTTTCTTCAGGGGCTAGTGTTGATTGCTCTGCAAGTGATTAGCTTGTCTTTCTGCTTCATAGCTTCTCCACGCCCACAATACATTGTTTCCTATACATTGTTTTCAAGGAGTGTCTGGCATATAGTTGGTGCTTAGCAAATGTGTCCAAAATATCGTTTTTGTAATCAGTGATAGGGGCAAGGTTTTGGCCAACCATTGAAGACACTGGTTAAGATGTCTCTGTCCCATTGGCTTGATCTGTGCCTCTGGCTGCTGATTCTTCTTTCTAACGCAGCCCAGGGGGACACAGTGATGATGGCTCCAGTACTGAGTTCCTGCCACCCCTGGGGGAAACCTCAGTTGAGCTCCCAGCTTTAGCCCAAGCCGAGGTCTGTTTTGGACTTTTGCAGAATGAGCCAGCAACTGAGAGCTCACTGTCTCAAATACAAGCGGTGGTGCATTTTCCTGTTAAAAACACCAGCTGTAAAAATAGGAAGAACTTTGTCATTCAGAGATGAACCTACACAGTGCAGTTGGTACAGGTTGGCATCACTGATGAAGAGTTGCTTACTCAAATCTGCTACTTTCAGTAAGAACCACTGTGGACCAGATCCTTGCGTCAATCCACATTCATTTTAGTTGCAGTGTAGACCACAGGACAGATCTTGTTTCAACATCACTCTAATTTAGGCAGCCCCCAAAGCTGCAGCTATGCTCACCAAGCATCTGGAGGTATTTATTGACTCTGACCTTTTCATAAATGAGTGGTTTGTGCCTTGCTTTGGCTTCTAAGTCTTCTAAAATTTAGAACAATTCCATCGAACATTTCCCAAACTTTCTTGACTGTAGAAGCTTTTCCTCCCCTGGTATCACAACAGCTTACTGAACTGTAGCTTGAGGAAGGCTCCATGAAATGGTTAGGTCTAATGACCTGAAAATTCATAGCAGGAAACTTACTCCGAAGACTGGCTGCTTTGAAGAAGCTCTCAAGTGACTCCTCTCCAGACCAACTCCTGTCTGCTCCTTCCTTCCTCCAGACTGTCCATGCCCCTCGAGAAGCACACTCACCAAGTGTGTCGTACCTGCTGGCACATGTGCTGGGGGTGGGCATTGGGGAGTGTGGGAATTCAGTAGCATCTTAGCATTAGTACTGGCTGCAGAACCTGATGCTGTGCATCCAGACAGGTACTGGAAGGGCTGGGGAAATGAACTGCTGATCATCCTTCCAAATATAGAAGCTAAGTTAAATGCCCTGTGGATCCAGGAAAAATCCCTGTCCATGCTCTGAGATGAGCAGGAATAATACAAAGATGAACACTTGCTCTCCAGGGATTCCCCATAAGAACCACCAGAGCCAGGAGTGAGATGTGACAGAGCCCCAAGTGAAGCACAGCTGAGGGCAAGCAGAAAGGCCTTGGCTTCCCAAATGGCTGTTTCTG